TTAAATATATCTACCTCCCCTTCTTTATCAGGATATCACAATACAAAGGACTCATATTGAAATCTACAGCAACATCATGGAATCAAATGATACGTTTTAACCTTAATAATAAGGCCAGCTTTAAATGTGTTATCTATCCAAATTGCTAATGCTTCTTCAACAAGAAGGAATGGAGTTTTCTTATTATGTTTCAAATTGGCTTGGTATAAATTGGTATTCACAGAAAACCAATGAATTTTCTCCTTTAAAATGTCACTTATCATGCCCCAAACCCACGGCTATATGTCAATAGTTTAAGGTAAAAAACCTTGTTCTTTTTTTAATATGTTTTATGTTGACAGATTTTGACATGACCAATTCATTCTTTTTAACAAAATAGGTATGATGTTCTAAGTATGTTCTTAGATTCAGTGCTTGAGTTTGACTTATTATGCAACTCAAATTTGGTAAAATATTGTGAATGACTGCTGATAAAGAAATCCTTTTCGAAAGAATCAAAAGTTGTTTTAAGCATCTTTTTTTGTGATCGAATGTTTTCTTTCTCTTTGATCACATTTCGCAAGATTCTACAATAATCATCAGATTTATCTTAGCGAAAAGTATAATCAATACACCAAATACACAAGAGTTTCATAATCTATTAACCACCTTTTCACATTCCTTGATAACTCCTTCCCAGTACGGCTTAAACCATCCCTCCAAACGTTCGATTCTACCTGTTATAGAAATAACAATTTTAGCAGTTCAAAATTTTTTATTTAGTAATAAAGGAAGGTGCATAACCGATTCTTCCCCAGAATCAGTAGACCCTTTATTACACAATGAGGATTGGAGTGGATACCTAGCAAACAGATAGAGTAATTATCCTGAGCAAGACGTGGAGTTTCCCTCCCTTTGCAAAAACGCTACCTTATTTTCAAGAAATAAAACTTTTTTAATCCAAGAGTCGAAACAACGATGGTATCGCGATGTAGACTCAAGATTCCACGATATGATGACTTATTGCTTCGCTTTTTTATATAAGAAATAGGTCGAAAGGTTGATTAGTTATTAGTCGTATAAGTCGAAATATTGTTCACAAGACTTACTGTAAATGATACTTGTCAATATTCCTTAAATCAAAACTTTAACAAACAGTACTGTCACAACTAATGATCAGAATTAATTATATTTTTTCTCATTAACCTCACTTTGTGAGTGGGATTTGGGAAATGAAATATGGGATATGAGTATGGGATTTGCCAAAAAAAAAAAAATTTTTTTCAAAGGAACGCGAACTTAAAAATGATCATTTTTACTTAAATAAGGTAAATTAACATATGATCGTGTATTATTTGTAGAAACTTTCCAAATTAAGCAAGAATCTAGATTAAAGATTTCAAAAAAATTTTTTTTCTTTTTCAGAAAATGTCGAGTCTAAAAAATGAAGTGGTTAAATTTTGCGAGATATTACGAATTCCCGTTTATTCTGGATCTACAACAGGTGCTTTAAACTTTTATCATTTACTTTTAGGAGTGAATTAACACAAAATATTTTATTTAATATCAAAAAATACTGACATATCGAGAATAGCGGATGCCTTTAACATTCAAGCAGAAGCGACATTTGAAGAATTGCAGAAATTAATCAGGAATACATCAGCTTCTTCCGATTCAGATAACAAATTAGATGATGATGATTTAATGCAAATAATTGTAACATGTGCAACGTTTATAGGAGAAGAATTATGGACAAATCCTAATTTAAATAAAAATGCAATTGGTAGTTCAAATTATATTTATTTACATTCAATTTTGTATTTGGTAAATTATTTGAAATATTTGAAACTGATTTTTTTTTAAAAAAAAAAGCGACGATCGAATTGTTGATTACCATTCAACCAGATCGGTTTCCAACTGTGACGCGTATGATCCAAACGTTTGTACCAAAAATACTCGAAAAATACGTAAAACCAACGTTTATAAAGTATCCTGTGAATGTTGATCAAAGAAGAAATGGAAAATCGAAAAGAAATACGGTTGATTTTGATAGTGCGAATGAATCATGGAGAGGAGAAGTAGCACAATGTTCTAATCTTTTACTTTGGTGTATTTTACATTTAAAAGTACGTGTACATTTTAAATTTACTTAATTCTTTATTTGATAAAAATATAAGTGAGAGCTGATATCTAATAATTCAAATAAATATTGATTTAAGAATTCAGAGATTGAGAAAACTATTGGACTTATTATCCCTCCAACTTTATCACTTATTGATGATTATAATGTGGATTTCAAGACACGAGGTGTTTCCATATTGGATCATCTATTAAAAAAATTAAAACCAAATATTATACATCAAACAGGATTGGGAGATGTTTTTCACGAAGCATTGAGTAAATGTTTAACTTATCAAAGTGAAACATCACACGTTTCTTTATTACGTCAAAGCTTTTCGGCCATAATTTCATTGATTTCTTTAACTGAACGGACAAACTCTGAAACACGATATATTAAATATGAACAAATTTTATCTAATAATGTAGTAAAAGGGTTCATTTTTTCAGGAGATAAAATTGTGATTCGCATTATATTATTACAACAAATTCCTAAACTTGCTGAAGAATTAGGAATTGTTACAGTTAAATATTTACAAGAATTAATACATGTAATATGCGATTCTTTAGAGTTCCCTCTTGAATTTACCAACAAAGAACAAATGTTAGAATTACATTTTGAAGCAGCAAAAGGATTAGAAAAGATCATCGGTGTATGTTGGCCTAGGTAAGTTATAATTTGTATAGGATAATTTTTTTTACTTGAAAATTTTTTAAATATATCTACCTCCCCTTCTTTATCAGGATATCACAATACAAAGGACTCATATTGAAATCTACAGCAACATCA